CCTCTATGTTAATATTTGAGATTCTTGCTCTGATTTTTTAGAAGCAGTGCTTCCCAGCCATCAATGAGTAACAAAGCTAACATGCCTCCTCTCTGACTGTTCTAGGTGTGACTGAGCATATTTTTGTACAAGAAAGGAAGAATAAAAGAAGTAACTAAACATACATCCCAAGTTCTTAAAACATGCCATTTGTGTTTGGGATTTCTTTCTTTCAGCAACTACAAGAGCATCAGTTAACTATTCAAATCTTTTTACAAAGCTGGGTAGTAATGGTAGCCTGGCCAAAGCAGAGGAAAGACAGAACAACTAGGTAAGGGAAGGAAAATATGTGCTGGCTAGTTCGTCAGCTCGAAGCAAGGAGTTCCTTTAACACTTGGTCTCACATTTAAAGAAACAAAATTATTCATCTTAGAACAGCTTCCTCTGGTTGCAGCAATGACTATCTTAAGAGAAGATTTATGTTAAAAAAAAGAACCTCATTTCTTAATACTTTAAATGAAGAGATGTGGAAAGCAAACTGTGACTCACAGATCTTTTAGCCCAGGTGTTAATCACAGTCACAAGGTGACCTAATTGTTTCTAACTCTTGGCGGCTGTTTCAGAAATCCTTACATTTCCGCTGCCATGAATGGCTATGATGTTGGATAACACAGTTCTTAGAAACTCAGTTCTGCATGATCAACCTTGTGACTCACTAGGGTTTTCCTCTAAGGTCAGGAATTACCAAAAAGGATAACAGGCTGAAAAGGCTAAAAAGAAGTCCTACGCTTTCTTTTTCAATTTTGACCTATAATTCCTGAAGACATGGGAACACTAAATTCAACCTCCAGACCCAAAATGCTAAAAGCCTAACAGATCATGTGACCAGAGTCATTTTCAACATAGTTGAATCTTTTTAAATTAAAGAAAGGATTTTTTAGCTGGAACTTTTCAAAAAGTGGCTAATACTGCCCGGCCGGGCGTGGCTCAGCGGTTGAGCATCGACCTAGGATCCAGGAGATCGAGGTTCGATTCCCGGCCAGGGCACATGCCTGGGTTGCGGGCTCGATCCCCAATGACCCTCTCATCATTGGTGTTTCTCTCTCTCTCCCTCTGCTGCCCTCTCTCTGAAATCAATAAAGATATATATATATATATATATATATAAAGTGGCTAATACCTATTTTTTAATCTTCCTTTTGATGAGGAAGCAACACAGGTGCTTGAACTTGAAGTTGATGGTTTTACATGTAAAATATATATTTAATTTTGATAACATTTTAGTTACTCAGGGTGGCTGACTATCAAATTTTATTAAAATCCCATCAAGGGAAACCTCAAAACACTTATTATGCTCCACAATTATTGTAAACCAAACAATTTAAATAAGAGGAGGAGATAATGACATTAACTTCTTAACTTAAAGCAATCCTCTGTGGCATGATTTTAAAACATTCTCTTGGTCTGAAATTTATGTAAATTGAATTCATCTATCATTGGTTATTACCAGCCTAGTTACATTAAAAAAACCCCCACAGTTTTCTGTAACAATTAGTTCTTTAAAACACTGTTTTAATTAGACCTGGGACATTATTAAACTAGCTATAAATATGTACAATATTTTATTTGGTATACCCAGATGCCTGAAAATCAACAAGAATGCCCTCTGAGTTCTTTCTTCAAAAATTCTTCTAATAAAAGCCTTTCATTCAAAGTTTTAATGTAATCGGAAGTAAATACCCTTTTCAGATTCCATTATGTACATATAAAAGAAATGGTCACTCATAACCAGACAATAATCATTGGACCAGTGTATTTTAGCACTCATAGGAGTTAAGTCAGAGATAACCAATTTCTGCATTTTATGAACGTCTATGACCACACACACACGAAGTCATGGCAGAGCTTGTACAAACCTGGATCGGTTACTTCTACCACATCACACGAGCATCGCACCCCATTAATCCTCACATGCTGCACAGGCTGGGAACTACCACTTTCCCGTCTTACACATGGGAAGGTTATCAGGTGGGGCTGCTGTTCAGTCAAGTGAGGACTAAAACCCAGACAAGTATGATTCCAGAAACCATTCTACTTACCCATAACCCTAAATTTTAAGAATAGGTAGATTTATTCCATTTATAAAGAAAACCACCCCAGAACTCTAACATGTGTCACTCTTTAAGAATAAGGAAATAAAACATGAGGGTTATAATTCAGAATTTAAATAAAGTCCTTTTCCCAAGCCCAGTTTAAGCACCAGCTTCTCCCGAAAACTTTTCATATCATTCAACTGAGATTCATCTCTTTCTTCAAACTCTTGACAACTGCTGTCTAGTGTTCATATGCAGAAAGTGCTAGAAGAACCACCCTCTTCCTTGGTCACAGAAATCCAAATGTTAGCTCTTAGCAAACTGCCACATTCCCAACCCCTCAAGGGGTAGGTATGATCACATGACCAAGTTCTATAGTACAATATTACTGCAGGTATGGCGTTGAAATTCTAGGAATGCTATTTAAAGAAAAAGCAGAATGAGCTTTTAGGGAAGCTCTTTTGCCCTCCCTCACTTTACCTGGCCATCCAGTATCTTTCTGGCCAGAGCTCCAGCAGCGAGCTCGGATCCTGAGCAACCCTGAGAAAGGAAGCTGCAAGCTGTGGGAGTGTGGGAGGAAAACAGGCCTCTGGGTCCGCAAGGAGACCATGAGGCCTGTGTGGCTACTTGGACAGCCTCCCTCCAGATTTTACCTAACAGAGAAATATGCCTTTATCTTATACAAGCTGCTATTATATTTTTGTGGTTAAATAAGCTGAAACCAATTCTAATTGATTTAGTTCAGACTCATACATATTTCATAATCCAAGGTTTATTGTAGCTATATGGAGAAGGGGGAAAAACAGAATTATTTCTTTTATAATATTTGAGCAAACACATCTCCAATCATAATTTTCATTCTCAAACCCTTTCTGGTAATTTTCAACTTTGGGAAAGAAAAAGGAGGAAAATGAAGTGGAAGAGAAAATGGAAAAAAATACTTCTGCCTCTCTGCCATTGCTCTGCCGATTCCTCTCCTCTCTTCTCAACTAGCTAAGTCCTACCATACTTGAAGGCCCAGCTCAGTGAAACTGTTTCTGCCCGACCTTTGACTTCAAAGTGCATATTCCCTCTGCCATCTGACAGCTCTATATCATACAGTAGCATCTTTTGTTTGACTTAACTTTTACACTGCATTTCTTTATCTATGTGTCACCTTCACAACATAGTGGGACCCATGTCATATTTCTTTGCACTCACTACAGCTACTAGAAAATTACCTCTGCGTGGCAGAAAACATCAATAAGTACTTTTGGTTGATTAATTAAATTAAGGTAAGATAGAAGGTGAAGAGAAGGAAAAGAGCAGGAGACTAAGGAGTGAGAATGCACAAATTCTTAGAAGTGAGAAAGCATAATAAAATCCTGAAGATTCCCCAGGACAAGTTTGACTTCACTGGACCTTATCAAATAATTGGGCCTGTAGGACAAATATCATGACCTGTTCCTTGTTTATGATATACGGTCAGTGCAAAGCTTAAACTATACCTACTAAGCTTGTTTGCCAAATAAAGGACAGTGTATTTTGCTTTAGTTACTCAGACAATTGCCTCAACCTCATTTTCTTAATTACCTTAGACATCTGAAAGAGTAAGAGATCCAGCTTAGGAAACCATGCTTCCATGGTGAATGTACATGATTCCAAACCATATGATGAAAATTGGCTTCCAGCAAGATCATATTTAACACATTATTCTGTCAATGTGACAACATATAGAAAATACTTGCACACATGCAATAATGACTTAAAATATTGAGTCATTTTAAAAATAAGTAGTTCAAGAAATCATTTTCATTAAAGAGATGCTTTTACCTCTCTTCTAAACCCAATAATAATACAGCTACAGGAATAACATTACTGCTTCTTTAAAAAATATATATATTCTAAACATATATTTTGCAGAAGCTACATAAGTAAAAGCTCTGTAACACTGAAACATTAACATTTGTATAGAAGTATGTAGAATTAACACTAGGTCACATGTTTAAAAGCTTTCACTACATTTAAGTACATAAAATAATAAGTGACATCAGGAACATTTTATACAGAAGCAATTGATATCTTGCCTGGACTCATGAACCAGTTTATGCCCCACCGATTCTAGTCTCAATTATTTGTACTACATATCTGCTAATAAGTTATGTACCTAAAAACACAGTATTCTAATTTATTTTTGTGAATTTAGCAAAGTTTTAGGGAGGGTATAAATAAAAATATTCAGTTAACAGAAAACTCAGCTTCTTTCTCATTCTTTCATAACAAACCAAGTCTCTGTTACATCATCTATTTAAAAAATAATGATAAAAAATGCTAAAATAGTATTGTCCTTATAATTATATTGGTTCTACTTATGAAAGCTGAACTACTTTTAATCTTTTAACATAGAATGTATAGTTTGCCTGTCAAAAATATTGCATTTTATTGCAAGTTAGTCATTAGTTATTTCCTCATCTCAAATTTTTTTCACATAGATTTCTCAGAAGAAACCAAGACAGTAGCTTCTTTGACAATGAAACATACAAAATAAATGACATGTCAACAAGTAAATTAGCATTCCCTTTCTGACCAGCTGGGTCATGGTTCCTTTTCAAAATCCTCAGTCCCATGATACAAAATAATAATAATCTAAAAGACCTCATTAAATGATCAATATATTGACATAACCTCTATAAGGAGACATATAATGTTTTAATTGATTCCATGAATCCATTAAATGGAATATTAAACCCAAAACTCCAATTATATTGTAAGACAAAATTTTCTTTCTTTATTAACTAATTTTCTACAGGTTACAAATAATGGAGCATAAAAGGTTTGAAAACTTTTTACTTAACCAAACAGTAAAAGAAGTCAAATTTGACTACATGTTTCATACAAACAATATCACAACAAGAGTTATAATAGACAAGTTAAATCATGTTTACTTACCAAAAAACTTCCAAAGGCTGAATTAAATATTGCTGCTGCCTATAAAGAAAATAAATGGGGGGGAAAACTGGCTGAAGGTGAATAGGAAAAGAAAAAGCAGAGATGATCATTGTCCCATCTCCCCCACTATTCAAAATCTTACAACACTGACTCTATAAAGCAGTTAGTCACTGCTTATAAAAATTGCCAGTGGCCTATAGTTTACTAAGATAGATGAGCTGCAGGTTAGGAATTCATAAATAATGGGTCTCAAAGCAAGCAGAAAAGGCTTGCATGAGATGCTCTGAACCTATATGACAGTACCAAAAGAATCACCACCAATAGTAAATTGAAACCTTGTTGTTATTGATTTTGCTACTAAAGTTAAAACAATCAGAGGGTGATTTATTCATAAAAAATTTCATATTACTGGAAAGAGGAAAACCAGAATTGTTAAGAAAACATTAAGTGCTCTTTATCAGGAAGCCTAAGTCCTAGGAACTATACCCAACAAAGTGAGATCTGTGGCTTCCATATAACACACACCAAAATTATGAACAATGTTTTAAGACCATGAAAGTCTTGCGATTCCATGAATTCTAAGGTAGAGACAAACAGGAAAAACCTCTATTGGGTATTCGAAATTCAAAGAAGAAATATTTGGCTTTGCTTACCTAAGTATCCAGGGAATACATAGTAGATGTAACACAGGCTTAACTTTAAAGCAATCACTGTATCCCATGAAGCTACACCTGAATTTTAAAAGCTTCTCACAATATTCAAAAAGGATAGGAACTTATATAACATCCAATTTGATGAAAGAAAGGAGAAAGAAAAATAATAATAAAAGGCAAAAGGAGGGGCAGAGAAACCTATTGACATCTCCTGTAGATCCAGAGCAGAATTATATTAATCATCATGGACATTAGCAGCCACATCGTAGCAAAAAGACGATATCAGTTTAGCAAGTTTGAACAAAGTCCAAAGCCACGAGCTGAGAGATGTAGCTAAGAGCCTTCTGCTCCGGGGAGGAAGCAATGCGAGTGCATGGGCAATGAGATCCTTGGCTCCAGAGAGCTTAGCTCTCCTGTTCAAGTTCATAATTAATTCAAAGCTTTGATAATTTCATTAGATTTCTCCTTTGCTGGCCCCATCAATAAAAGATGGCACTGGACCACACCTCCTCTGTGGCATAAACACAGGCAAAGGCGCAGACCTGGGAAACCTCTGCTTCCTGACAGGGGTAACGGCATATGGTGTTCCATGTTGTGCAGGGAGCAGTGGAAAAAACAAATATTCAGCTAAACAAAGCATTGCAGGTGGCAACTGTAAACCAGAGCAACATAAACGTACCTTCCTAGAATTCTGTTATGGATGATTCAAGAAAAAAGTTTTATGTGGGCGAGGGGGATAAGTAAAACAGTATAAATAAATGAGCTGTGGTGAGATCAACAGGGACACTGCCTTCCTTTCTACAAACTATTTTAGACTTAAAATGTATTGATCTCTATTTTTAGTAAAGGAATGAGGTCTTCCCTTTTGAGCTCCTCTCTTCAAATCTGCTGCTTTCCAGTGCCTTTCACTAACCTTATACTAGATAACTGATGATTTTGCCCAGCATTAAAAACAAGCAAACAAAAACCATGGATGGTTAGAAGTAAAAAGGCTCTGAAGTCAAGTAAAATAAATATCCATTACTACTCAAACCACCATACTCACATTTCATCCAATTCTCTTTTTAAACCCAAACACAAGAAATACATTTCATACGACTGGCCATGTTCCTGCATTTTATAAGGTGACAGTGACGAAATAGCTTAGGTACCCAAAGATGCTGCAGGCCCACTTATTCCTAGTTGCTTTTCTGAGGTGGTGGATCTGAACTCACTCACCCACACTGTCACTCGGCGCTCCCATGCAGTGAGTTCGGGCAGTCACTGGTGAAAAGCTAATAGTTGGCTCGATCCTGCATTTGTAGCATATGAAGCATGATGATAAATATTCAGAGAGGATTTAATTGATATACAAGGGACATGGATATCTTTTGACTTAGTGAGGAATTCCCAGCTCCTTAGCAAGATATACATAAAGAGCTCTCCGTCTGAAGAGATATTTCATTTCCTGCTTCAAATTTTATGTTCTGACAACACCAAACACTTGTGATTCCCCAAGCTCGTCATGCTGCTTCTTACCCCTCTCTTCCCCAGCCGGGAGTGCCCTCCTTCCTTCCTCTACCACTGATCTTCAAAACTCAACTTGGGCATTGTCCTTCCAAGAAGATTTCAATCGCCTCCTCCGACACACACACACATCTAAACCTGTAGGTGGACTCAGTGTCCCACACCTGCTGCCACAACATCCCGAGTACAACTCTGCCACACTATTGAAATGACCTACCTACATGCCTCCCTGCCCCACTAAGACTGAAGTCTTCTAAGGAAGAAATGTGTTGAAGCTCATCCATAGCTCCTGTGCATTTGCTATGGATTGCAGAAATGTTCAGCCTACCTCTCCTACTAAGTTACTCCATGTGTCTGGCAGAATCCAAGGCCTGGAAGACACAGAAGGCTGGACCTAACCAAGCTACAAACAAGCAACAGCAATGACAGATTTACACGTCAGTCTCCCACCCAATATAAGCATCTCTTTGATATCTTGTTTTACCTCCTGTGACCTCCCTATTATGATATAGTTACATAAATATGCTTATCATAATGTTTTAAAATTTACCACTGCTATAAAGTAATAGAGTTAAATAAAATCTAGAATTACCAAGGAATACTCTACAGCCATTAAAAAGAGGGTGATGTGCCTATACTGATATGAAAGCATGCTGATATTTAAAGAAAAAAACAAGTTTCAAAACAGTGTGTATAATTCCTTCAATATGTTTTTTCCCACACCACCATGCAATTCTCAGACACCAGCTGGGTATACTACAATTAAATCCAATTTTGCCACTATCTACCTGAAACTAGTGTCAGATCCCACAGGTTAAGGGCTCAGTCCCACAAGGCTGCCCCCCACTTTGGATGTCAATCACATGTCCAAGTTGTCACCTATGCTTCTGGCCCACTGGCTCTATATCAAAAGTTCCCACAACCCCATCCTTGACTTTGATTAATTTGTGAGAGAGACTCAAACCAGTTTCCTTACTAGAATATTTCTTTTTTTAAAAAAAAATATCTTTATTGATTTCAGAGAGAGGAAAGGAGAGGGAGAGAGAGATAGAAACATCAATGATGAGAGAGTCATCGATTGGCTGCAGCCCACAACCTGGGCATGTGCCCTGACCGGGAATCGAACCCCGATTGCCTGGATCCTAGGTCGACGCTCAACCACTGAGCCACGCCCAGCCGGGCTAGAATACTTCTTTATTATAAAGAGATATAACTCAGGAATAGATCACAGGGCAAGGCATGGGAAAGGGCACAGAGCTCTCAGCTACTCCATGTGTTCACCAACCAGGAAGCTCTTGGAATCCTTCCTTCTGGGGTTTTCTGGAGGCTTCAGACTTGGTTGATGAAATCATTGGCCATTGGTGACTGAACTCAATCTCCAGCCCTCTCTCCTCCCCAGAGGTCTGGGAGTCAAAGGAAAAGTTTCAAACCTCTAATCACTGGTTAGTTCCCCTTGCAAACAGTCCTTTCCTTAGGTTAGCTAGGGGCTGTCCCCAAATCACCTAATTAGCGTAACAACAGATACCTTAGCTGGCTTTCTTCCCTTAGGACATTCCAAGGGTTTTAGGAGCTCAGTGCCAGGAACTGAGATGAAGGACAAATATATATTTCTTATTATAAATCACAACATCACATTCCCATTGTGTAAATATTTACAGACACATATACATATACACAGGTATGCATAAGATCACAAAAACTCCTAACTGTGGTTACATTTGTTGAATAGGATTGGGTGAGGGTCCTTTGTATTTTTCATTTTGTTCTCTGCCTGTACTGTTTGACTTTTGTTTTTAACATGTTACTTTTCTATATTTCACAAGGGTTATCTGGCCAGGGAAATGTTCAGCCATTTATTGTGTGCATTTTGAATTCTTTTTTGTTAAAATGTAATAAATACCTCATTTGAGGTTACAATCCTACTTTGCACATTAGAGGTATCTCTTGCTGGCTGGCTGCCTGACAAGCTGGGGTTGCACAGCCCCTGGCACCTCACTGTGCTGGGGGTGAGAGGCCACAGGATAAACTGAGTGCTCTTCCAGGAGTGTCTCTAGTACATAAATATTTGATTTTGAAAATAAACCACAAATCCACTATTATTTTTGTATTAAAACAAACATGGCTATAGAGAATACAAACCTTATGAAGTGACACTAAAGACGAGCCACCAAAGAAAATCTGTTGTGAAGGTAGAACCATTCAGGTTATACGAGTGGACTCTTAGGATGAAATTCCGCTCCTCTGCTACTAGAAGCCACACCTGAGACAGTTCACTGATTTTTAAATACAGCATTTCATTGATCCCTTTCGCTAGAAACAATTTAATTATCCATTACCCACAAAGAATGCTCCATTCTATGAGAATGTTCCATTACAGCAAGAATTCTGTGTAATTTGGAGAAGATTATACACTCAGTGCCTACAAGAGCACCTGGCTTGTAGTAGAACCTCAATAAACATTACTGAATGAAAATGAGTGAATAAATGAATGAATACTTCTTGCGCTATCTGAATGCCCTCCACGGTAATGTTTTCTTAATGAACTCATGAAATCTACCTGCAAAGGGTTTACCTTGGTGTAATCACATCTGATGGATAATTAGATCAACGCTAACTGAAAAAAAAAAAAAAAGTTCATATTGAGGTGATTTTTTTAATACTGTGTAGATTGGCTTCTTTTATATTACACATTTTTAGATAATATATTGCTTTTAGTACCAGCCCGATTTTACCCAATATATGGTTTCATTATATATTATACAGCTTGTCTTTATTAAATTATGTTGAAAAATTGAGCAAGTTCAATGATGAATTAATTTCTTCATAACCTATTTGAAAATATTTGAAATAAAAAGGTAAATTTAAAAAAGAAACCTAAAA